ATGACGATGACAACGACGACGAGATGATGATGATGTAGCCGATTTTAACAGCAGTAGAAATGGCACTGTTCTTCGTCTCTCTCTCTCTCTCTCTCTCTCTCTCTCTCTCTCTCTCTCTCTCTCTCTTGCTCTCTTGTTCTCTTTCTCTTTTTTTAAAGCTCTAATTTTTAATTTATCAATTTTTGAGAGATAATTTTTTATTTTTTATCCAATGAATAAACAAATAAGTTGTTATGTGTTGCATATTTTTATGATATCCGTTGTAATGTTCGCCATTTCTCTAATAAATTTAATAGAATTTTAAGAGAGAGAGAGAAAGAGAGAGAGAGAGATGGAGAAGAAAAGAAAGATTTATTCAATATATTTAGCTATTATCGTTTATGATAATGATTGTTGTAGTAGAAGTGGTAGTAGTATGTGGTAAATGGAAGAGAGATTTTTATGATACTAATATATAGTCGTAAAAATTGTTTAGCGGAAATCTTTTATTGAAGTTATCATAGAAGATAAATGAGAGAGAGAGAAAAAGAAAGAGAGAGAAAGATGAAAATTTTGAGTATTAAACTATCTTAGTGTTAATATTTTTCAAATTTGTGAGTGCAATTTTGGCGAAAAAAATTAGAATGTTCAAAAGAAAAATAAAAATTTAGACTTTTTCCTGTTTGTGAAGTATTTGTCTGTTTGAAATAGGAAAGTGATAGAGATTTGGAATTTTTTTCTATTTTTGTTTTTTTCTGGAAGAACTAATTGAAGCGCAATTTTTGCTCGTTTTTTTCTAAATCAATTGGGAAAGTCGCTTAATTAAAAAAAAAAGTCGACAGCGAGAATAATATTTTTCTTTTTTAAATAATGCGGTATTAATTAAGAAAAAAATCAACTCTTTAATTGGTAAATTTCATTGCATTTGTACTAATCATAAATGATATCGGTTTTTTCATAGTTTTTTTATAAATAATTTTGATAAAATTGGAATGAATAAAATGTAAATTTGAAAAGTTTATATTTCGTACTAAAAATTTTTCTATTTAATTCTCATTTATTTAGATTGCTTATTTATAGCATATTAAAATTTCCAACAATCAAATAATGGAAATGCTGATTGCATTAGTTGTAGATGGGCTAATCGATTGGATAGGCTTAATGATGTGAAATAAAAGTAAATAAAATGAGAATAAAATGAATCGAGCAAATTGATTTACTTGTAAATGATTAAAATTTTGTTTAGTTCAATATTCATATTTTCAGGATTTGAAGTAAACAATTCTTAATTGCATTTGGGACGCTCTTTTTCGGTAAAAGGTATATATTTGATATTTATGTCTAATTCGTTTCTTTTTTTCTCTCATTTTCTTTTCTGAAATAACTTAATCAATGTCGATTATTACGGGTAATTGCAGTTAATTGTCTATTTTCCATTTGTTTGTGCTTTTTCAATCGATTTAATTTCAATGCTCAACCAATTTAATTTCACTTATTTATCAATTCGATACGGCTTTTTGGTATTTATTCAATGTTTTGACCTGTTTGTTTACTATTTTTTATCCGTAATACCACCAATAAATTAAAAGGAAAAATAAAAATAGCATAAAATTTGCACATTTTTTTAACCTTTAGGATTTGCAAGATAGTTGGTAGAATGCTATTATGATCTGTGATAATTTTAAAAGCAAGTTTTCTTCCTTTGAACGGTTTATTAGCTTAATTAAATGGACGTGTCAGGAAAGTACGACATGCAATGTGACATCGATCAAAAAAAGATTGAAGAAGGGACAATTGTTGTGATTGTTAAGCACTTAAAGATTAGAATTTGTTTCATCTATTTCCGTTCATCTTCCCCTCCCACTTCTGAAATAGTTCGAATTTTTAATTGTCGTTTGACTGTTAGGATAATTTATTGAAATCTACAGTGTAGATTTCAAGAAATTATCCTAATAGTCGAACACTTGAGATAATGTAGATCGTTGCTATCTGTAAAAGTGGTATTAGTAGTAATAAAAAAAATGATAAGTAAGCGTATCCAAAAAGATCTACGTTAAAAATGTAACATAACTTCTATTTTGGATTGCCGAACTAAAATTATTCGCCCATATAACAAGTGAGTATTTTAATAGTTTTTAATTGTCAGATTATGCATTTTTTGTCCCATTTCAATTATTATATAATACCTGAAAAATTTAATGCTTAATTATAATTCTTATAAATTAGGTATAGAAATGCGACCTGTGTTAGCTCCTGTTTTACCGCTTATTATTGAATGCATGTAAAATAAAATTAGCGATAAATTTCATTTGTTATGAGCGCAGTTGGCATAAATGTAATGAATTTCCTCTCAATTCAATTTCCCTTCAATTCAATTGAGAGGAAATTTGTCAATAACTTTAATAGCAACATTTCATTGCAAAATTTTTAACATTGAAATTTGATGAGATTTTTGCTTCAAAATTTATTGATGTATATGTGTGTGCATGTATGTATGTGTGCATATGTGTATGGGTGTGCATGTATGTGTGTGTGTGTGTGGAGATCGGTGTTTCACGGTGGGGACGGGTTGGTTGCTACTGGTGGTGCCGGTGGTGCGGGTAACGATTGCATTTTGCCGCCTGCCTTTTAATGCTGATCCTATTTTTCGTATTCGTCGTCCGAAATGTTGTCATCTGTATGGAAATATGCATGTAAATGTGTGTTTTCATGTCTGTTCAATCCTTTCCATTCAAATTTTTAATATCTTTTGCTCTTTCGTCTTTTATTGCTCATTGAAGTAATAAATTTGACAAATTATGGGTTTATTGATAATTCTTTCTCAGATTGTATTTTGTATTCTTTCTTTTTTGTTTTTTAGTTTGTATTTTTTAATTATCAATTAATCATTTCTAATATTTTTAATTATTTTGAAGAACATTTAATTATCTTTCTATTAAAATTAATGATCTGTTTTGTGCCATATTAACGATTAATTATCTTATTTTATTAATTATTTTCCTGACTACTTATAACTTGATATATGGAGGGAGTTTGATATTAGAAACTGAAACATTTACCTGATTTATATGATGAATCATCATAGGAATATGGATGAAAAAAAACACACACACACATGCACGCGCACATACACATACACACCCATACACCCATACACACACGCGCACCACACCACATGCACACGGACATGATCGAAGTGTACTTATCAATTAGTGGGAAAAGTAAATAAAAGTTGGTAACTTCTGAGGAAGGATTCAACAAACAACGGAAGTTGTTTGCATGATCAAACAGCTCGTTATTTTTAATTTTACGCTATCATAAGAAATTAGAAATGAATGACAAGTATGAAGTTTCTGTTACTTATTAATAGCGTATTTAAATATTTTAAAAAGTGAAACCTTTAATTTCGATTTATTTTATGTAATGTCAAACTATTAATGCATGAGGGAATGGAAGGGAATTAATCAACGATCCTTACAGCATTTATTTCTCGTATCACAGATACCGTCGAGACGATTCGTCTCTTCCATCCATCGGTTATCATTCATCTTTACCGACCATATATATATATACAATTATCAATCCAGCTCTTCCTAGCCTAAATTGTCTCATGTCTTGACTTCCTGACACCCATTACATGTTCACCTATTGATCGTTATTCATCTGTTTATTTTTTCAGAAGGAAATATGATATTTTAATTTAATGGACAAAGAAAGGTATGTTTATTATCGGTTAAAAGAAAAGCGAATAAAGATTGATTGATGTTATTTCCGTTAATTCGTTGAAAATTTATGAATCATATCCGTTAATCACTTTTTCTCATTAAATATTTTTGAAAATTAATCTAAAAGAATATATGTGTTACTTTAAATCTCTATTAATTTTTTATCATTACAGGCTTGCTAATATATAGAATTATTATATCATCGAATAAAATATTCTCTTGAGACTATTAGAAAAGTGTCAAAAGTAATTTTTATATTTCATGACGCATGATTGAAATTAGCTTATTCGATTTTTTATTTATTTAGCTTTTTTAATTTTCGAATTAATTAATTCAGCCGTCTTTATTCCATTTTAATATTTACTAATAATTCTCAATAATGGAAAAAAATAAGCAATTTGAGTTGGTTTTGGTAGTAATACTGTAGACTGTCAACAACACTTGAATTAGAATTATTGCAAAATATTAATCAATAACGCTTGATGATAATAATTTGGAGTGCTATTCTTCATTTTATTGTATTCAAATTGTATAAACTTGGTTTAAACATTAGTGACAGAGTTTCTTGTATTCAAACTGATAAAAAGATATAATGTTAGAAAAGCTATTGATAGAAAAACTGTTGATAGGAAAAAAACTTTTTCACTTCAATATTTTATTTCTTGTTATTTTATGGCAATATTTTCATTTATTTATAATAGCTTTTTTTTTTTATTTCAGCTTTCTACAACCAGTATTCTATTTGATCAATCATAAAACTTGTTCCTCACCTATTTACTCCTTCTGTTTCAAAAATAAAAAAAAATTCAGAAACCTATAAAGCTGTAAAAATGCTGTGAGTTAGCTGTAAATGAATTTCACTTGTTTATTAATGACTTTTTCATGAGATGCAAGAAAGTTTCATATGTATGTAATGTTTGGAAAGATGGAAAGGGAAATAATGCATACATAAATCCTTCATATTGATGAATAAAACATTCATTAGTGCTTATGTTGAAAAGTAAAATTTAAGAATCATTTTATTATGATTTTTTTTTACTGTGAATTATTTGGTTCATTTATTTTTGTGATATTTTAAATATGACGAAATTAATTTCAATCATTCTATTATGTATGTGTCGCTGATTGTGTCACCAATTTGCTTCGTTTTCCATTTAACGCGTGCAACAAAAAAAAGAAAAGGAAGTTAATAAATATTGAGAAATTGATATATTGTTCGTTTCAGGAATTAAAAAAACGAAAAAAATCTGTAGTTATTATAAAATAGGAGAAGAAGAAGGCGAGGATAAGTGGATAATGGTGGAAGAGGATGAAACGGCTGGTAAAACACCAGAAGAATGTCGAGATCTTGGATTATGGGAAGTGGATCTGGTCTATTATAGTCTCAACGGGAACAATAAGGTAAAAAGATATATTTTAAATGGGTAAGAATTGGGACAGAGAAAGGAAGATGAATGCACTGATGATGGATAGGATGGTCAAGATGAAGAATATCGGAGGGGACAGATGTTTAGATGGTTTATCGATAGATAAAAAGATCAGTATGAATCATGTTATGGTAATTAGCACTCAATTTAAAATTACAAATGTAACATCTGAGTGAATTTGGAGGAAGTCGGATTTTTTTAAAATTTTAGATTGAATTTACAAGTCGTAGTTTTTTAATTGTTAAAACGAATTTACAAACTTTAGTTTTTGCAAAACATTGCGATTTGTTGTAAAATTATATCATTATTTTACGAGTGATATTAAAGGAAAATTCTCAAAGTTTTGGAATTTTTTTAAAAATTCCTCCTGAAAGCCATCTATGATTCTAATTTAAAATATTAAATTTTATAAATTTATAGTGTATTCGCATGTTTTCCCATATCTTTAGAATTTTGAAATAGGAATACATGTCTTATCTATAGAATTGTTATTTGATTCCACAATTTTTTTGCTTCTATGATAGAAAATTGAAAGGAACACCGCTGTTAAGAAGGAGAACATAATTGAGAGGATTTGTGACCTGGGTCTAAGATGACCTATTATTGTTAATTGCCAGTTGACCTTCCTCTCCCATTCATTGATTTCTTTTGATGAATGATGACCCGTTCCAAAAAAGAGCAACTCTTTTCGCTCTAATAAAGATCTTTTAAATTTCATTTCGAGAAAGTTACAACTTTCCGCTACTAATTACAAAATTGATTTTCTATTTTAATATTTTTAAAAATATACTGGATGAAGAAACGATTGAAAAAAATACTGAAAATGAGATTTTTTTATATGCAACATAAACTTGTTGTAAATTTGCAAACTTGAAATTTATTTTAATTTGTTTCCAAAGAATTTTTGTAAAAAAAATTGACGGATCGTTGTTAGTGTGGTGTAAGATTATCCTGTGACAACCATTTCGAAATTTTTTTTTCATTCTAATGAAGCGCGGTCTTCATTACACGAAATCTTCCAAACAACGAAAATTTTTTTCGGTAATTTTTTATTAGTTATTTTTATTTAAAAAAATTAAAAAATGTTTCAAACAGTATTTTCAACTTATTTGATTTCTAATTTCTTATTCCTAACTTCATTTTTAATTCAGTTATCTTGTTGCGCCCAGAAATAAAGAGGCTTTGAAATATGCAAGTCTCGATGACCTTTGATCTATATTACAAAGTTTGTAATAGCTATGACAGTTAATTATTTGATATAATTGAATTAAAGTAAATCATTTTGAGAAAAGTTACTATTAGTTTTCCGGTTTTCCAATTATGTTTCGATTGAATAAACATATTTTTCAGGGAGATTCCACGAAAAATAAACGTGGAAAAGCGTACAAAGCACGAAGTGATAGTGAATACAAATGTTTCGAAGCACATGACGGTGTGCTTTATCGGCCCGGCGATCATGTTTTCATCGAAGTGTCACAGTGTGATCCTTATTATATTGGCACAATTTCAAACTTTAAAATGGTGCTTTATTTATTTAAAAGCATACAGTACTGAAAGGAAAATTATAATATAGGTATTATTATTATTAAGTGGGTGTGATGTACTTTTGGTAATCCTAAATAACTTTTGAAGGAATTTTATTTGCTTTATTTACAATGGGCTTATTACTTAATAGTTATTTTTGCTAGTGTTTTGTTAAATCAGCAATAACCTTTGAACTATACGAAATATGTTTTATGGAATTTACTTTTAAATTCTTCTCTAAAATAGCAGGTGATCGATGGAGGGGAATTAGTTGCCAATTTTACAACTGTTCATTTATAATTAATCAAAACCCGAATCTTCGACACTCTGTACTCACATCACTAACGCCAATATTGACAGTATCTTTTCTGTAATAGTTATATCATTTCTTCAATCCGAAATTTATGGAAAATAGTCAGTAATAGTATGGTGATAGTAATGTCAGTGAGTGAGTGCGAGATTTTATTTCCACAATTTGCAAGAAAACATCCGGGATGTTGCAGTCCTGCTAATTCGTTGTATAAAAGAATAATTATAATTATTAGCACTTAAATGATCTATTAAAAACCATAATTAAATTGATAAAATAAAACTTGAGCAATAACTTATATTAGAAAATTGCATTGAAGAATGAAAATTTCAAAAAATAATATTTTTGTGCTTTTTTTCCAATTTCTATGCGGACACATTCATTGATTTCTTAATGAATTTTTTTTGCTGAGAATTATTAATAAATAAGCATGTTTTATATGAAATGTAATATTTACTAAAACTTAAAAGTCAAATATGTATTCTCTTTCTATTGTTCATTCCAAAAAGTTCCGATGAAGAATAAATTTTGGTCGAAGGTCATTTATTTACTTCCACATAGATTATAGTAAATATATGTGTAATTATAATTAATTGCGCCATCTTTGCAGACAAAACGAGATCAACTGTCAGTAAAAGTTACACGATTCTACAGACCAGAGGATGTTCCTGAGGATAGTTACTCACTGTTACTTCAAGATCGACAGGATGATACATCGCTCAATCATGCTGTCATGGCTGCTATGCAAACTCGAGAATTATTCTCTTCCGAAATTTCATCCGTCCATCCTATTTGTCACCTCAGGTTTGTTTCACTTTTCCAATAATGTTAGTAATTTCAATTTTTGATTATTATTATCATTGTTTGTTCATTTGTATTCATTTCTCCCTTCCCCTCCTCCTTCCTTCTCTTCTAGCCCCTTTTGTTTTTTTTTCTCTTCTCCCTTTTTATTATCCTTCTAATTTCATTCATATCTTTAATTTTTAAAATCCAATACTTTATTTTAAACTAACAGAAAAAATCGAAAGATTTAATTTAAAAACACAGTGAGTAAGTATTTAACAATTAGGAACTAAATTGCTATGGCCAATAGCATATCGCAATACTAGAAATTAAGGAATAAAGTAGAAGAATTATTATTGATCCCATAAGGCCTATTATCGATCTTCACATTGGAAAGCCTCATTAAGTAAACGATCTAAAGAGTTTTTCCAATTCTATAAGTTATAAAATAATATAATCAAATTTTATTACCTTTCCTTTTTTTCTATTTTCCGAACACAATACATTTATTAAAATTTCGTTTTTTTTTTTCATTTTCATTAATATAAAGAAATTAATCTTGCTAGAATGTTAGCAAAAAGGAATGAATTTGTTAAATATTATAAAAATTCAGACAAATAGGTTTTATTATTTTTCTTACAGAAATAAATATAGGATGAAGAAAGGAAGGAATATCAGATAATGTGAAGAGAGGTTTAGGTTTATTGATACAGATGGATGGATTCTATAATGCAATATGATATCCTGAAAAGTAAAGTAAATAGAGAAGGGCTTCCATTCATTAAGCTTTATCTGTTCGATGATTGTATCAGATAATATTACGGAATTATTAAAAGATAAAAGTGATCCGTAAACAGCTATTTATACCAAAATTTATTTCAATAATTCATTATCGTCATAGAGTATTTGATCCTATTTAACAGAAATATATGTTGTATTTAATGCTTTAAGAGGCTTTTTTGGATAGAAAATAGAAATAGAAATCGATTGCAATTTGCATTTATAATAATTTTATTAAAATTGCAAATATGCAACAGAAATTAATTCAAAGTAAATTCTCAAATCACACATATGATTTCTTTTTTTTGATATTACATTGATTTCATTTGATGAAAAGAGAAAGAGAGAGAGCGAGAGGGCGTGGATCAGTGTTAGGTAATTGTAATTTTAAAATATTTAAAGGATAATAGTAGTAAGCAATGATGAGATGAATGGAGTAGCTGTTGGCAAGGAGAAAAGCAAAAGAAAAGAATTTATTGAATTCGATTTGATGATATGAAGGAGGAAAAAAAATTGAGTTCTTCCATTTCAATAGGCCAAATCACTGGCATCATAAATTTTTACTAGGAAAATGATCGAACTGATATGTTTGCTGCGAAAGAATTTATGAATAGTTTAATGGAAGTTAGAAATTTGAAAAAAGAAAATAATCAAGAGAAAGAGAGAAGAGGGAAGGAGAATAGACGGGGAGAGAAAGAGAGGGGAGGGGAGAGAGAAAAAATGATTAATAGATATTCATAAAAGGAGGAGAGAAGGGGGCAATTTCTAATATACCTTGTGTGTATAGTTGATATGGACAGATAGCAGTCTCAATCATTTCTCCACTCTCTTCCACCACAATAATCATCTCGATTTTATTATTTGAAAATAAGGTTATTCTTACAATTGTCACACTTTAAATATATTCATTCCATTTTTTTCTGCTATACCTAATTCATTTAAAATATTTCAGCATTTCTGATATTAATTTCATTTTGATATTACTCATTTACTTTCTTCATCTATCATTAACTAATACTATCTTGCTAATCCTATCTATAAATTGCAAAAGAGAAAAAAATTCTAACTTTATCCAATGATATGATCATATTGTTATCAGTTACTAATAAATACTACGCGGAAAAGAAAAAGATAAATTCCGCTTACTTGTTATTTATTTATTTATATAAATGATCGGTTATGTTTAATTTTCACTTTCAGCGCCTTATTGACTATCGAATGTTTGCTTAGCTTTCAATGTTTGTCCTTTGACAATGACACGCTGCTTCACATAATCGTTTGTAATTGTAGTAATGATCAATTAATCATTTTGAGATCAAAGCAAGCAGGACAAGTTGTGAAGATTAGATGATGGTGGTAGCAGCAGTTGGAATATTCCAGGTAGATGGTTGTGGTGATAGAAAGGTAGGAGAGAGGAGAGAGAGAGAGAGGAAAAGCGGTTTCGAGCAAAAGGAACTGTCATTATTGATAAGGAAATTGAGACAAGATGTTGACTTCGTGGATTAAATGACAATAATGTCGTCCAAGAAGAGGATAAGAGAAGATTAGAGCGGTGAAAGGTTCAGTTGAGTGTTGCAAACAATACTACTGAAGATGATTAAATATTTGTGGCTATTATTATTATTGAAAGAAAAAGAAGAGTGAAGAAGGAGAGAGAGAGAGAGGGAGAGAGAAAGGTAAAAGATGAAGCAGATGGAGCTTACTATATTGATCATGGTTTTATCGTTTCCTTTGCTTCTCCAATCGATCTTCCCTATTCTCTTCTCATCCATCCTTTCTCGATGATGGCCATTCGAATGATTTTTTTTTCTCTCTCTCCCTCTTTCTTTCTCTCTCCCGTATCGCTAAATGCTTTTGAAAAAAAAAGAAAAAAATTTTTTTTCTGTTTTGGATATGGCTTTCGTTCATATATACTCCTTGTTTATTTCAATGGGATGAATTCGTCTTTGTGTCCGTCTGTCCATCTATTCCTTGTCAATGAGTTCGATTACTTTAATTAAGGTCTGACCAAAAGGCGTTCTTGTCGTTTCTTCCTTCTCTTCTCTTCTTTACATCCCTCTCTGTCTCTCTTCTTTTATCCATCTTTTTACTTTTCTATCATTTTTGAATTTTGACGAACAAAACAGTTTTTGCTTTTTATATGCAAAATTTTAGTCTTTTTATTTCTTTGCGAAAAAAAGAAAATGGCCAATTTTCTGCAAAATTGATTAAATTTGTGGTTTTAGTTAAATTTACGAAATAAACCAAAATAAGTTTTCCATTTTCGTTTTGCATTTTCTTCTCTCATTCCTTTTTTTATTTAACATTTCATCGCAAAATTTAATTTCTTTGAATGGAAAAATGCTACACTTAAAATATATTCCATTTCTGGAAAAGAAAAGATTGAAATTGTTCGTTATATTTTAGCTAATTCTTGCAAGTTAAACTGGAATTGATATGCAATGTGTAAAGAATACTTAAGAATGAAATTTAAAACTTTTATTTTAACATGAATTATGAAAATGATTGTTAAATATAGAGCTATCTGAAAGGAATTCAAGAAGGGATGGAATTTCATGATTTTACTATGTTTTACACTTTCACTTCGATATATACCTTTTTTATTATAAACTTCTATTTTTGATTTTTTTAAGGGAGTAATATGAAATGTGTATTATGGGCGCATATTGATATCCTTAACTGACTAACTTTGTAAATTTTATAAATTAAATTTTTATTCTAGACATATATATTGGATGTATCTTTTTTGATCGAAAAAAGTAACGAGTAATCATTTGCATTGTTTGTAGTCTGTACTGTTTCTTGAAAAGAAAAAAAACGGGAACAAACGGCATATCTCGGGGTGACGTTTAGGGTTAAAAGTTAGGAAGAAAATCGATAGGTTGAAGAGTTTATAGTGAAATTGGTGATGGATGGAATTAAGAACAGGTGATTGTGAGTAAATCCATCGATGATGGGAAGCGCTGAATGTACCGTGCCAAACAGCTTCCTTGGTGTACTTTTTTTCGTGTATGCTTACATATTACAAAATATGTGATACATTTTTAAGGTCATAATAATATCGTTATATTTCTAATAGAATGAAATGATAACAATAATTCTAGAGTTAAAGAAATGAAGCATTTTTATGAGTTATAAAAATGAAAAGATAGTATGCTATGGTGATATGCATCTTTTAGTTACAAATTACTTAATGTTACCAATGATAAAGAATTATATTAATATTTCTTTTTTTGTTAAGAAAATTTTAGCGCCATAACAAAGTCAGAATGTAAAATCGATTAATTGATTGAATTTCTGCTGTTTTTGATATTTGGAGTAAGCGGTTATTTTTGGATATTTTAAGAAAGAGATAATGAAGAGATTTATGAGGTGCAGAAAAGTTTCATATGTGTGTAATGTTTGGAAAAATGGAAAGGGAAATAATGCATTTGATGAATAAAACATTCATCAATGCTTATGTTGAAAAGTGAAATTTAAAGATCATTTTATTATCAAATTATCGCATTTAAATAGTGAAAAAAGTTTAGATATAGTTTGTAAGGATTTACAGACTGATTATTTTGTTGTAAATTGAAAATAATTTATCACTGATTGATACAACAATACGGTTAGTGATCAAAGAACAGATTATACCATTAGTTTCAATATTTTTTGTTTACTTCTTTTTTTCTTTTTCATCTATAATATTTCTGCTGTACAATTATTATTATTATTGATCTGATAATTTATATCGTTTTTGGAAATAATTGTTGATGTAAATAATTTTGGCATATTAGTAATAAAATAATAACAGTACATTTCGTTATCACAATAATAATAGTGATGACAACAATGATAATAATAATCGTATGTTTATCATTGCTATTTTATTCGTCTTTAAACACTGATTCTATCGATGAATTCTTTTTTTTCATTACAAATAATTAATTTACATTTTCTGTCAGCGCATTTTTCTCCTCTTCCCTGTAAACATGACATTTTTTATACTAATATTACTTTAATTATCTCATATTTTATAGAGCCTTCTTTAGGAAAGTTGAAAAAGAAAAAAGAATGAATTAAATGGAGATGAGTTTTTCGAATAAAATGGTTGAAGATGTTGGAGTATTACAACAAGAATAATTATCATGCAAATTTGTTAGTGGCATATGCTTGATCTATTGTATGACCTGAAATCAATTGATTTCTCCTGTCTGACTCTAAGAGATCATTTACAGTGTGAACAGAGATAGAGAGAGAGAGAGAGAGAGAGAAGATAAGTAAGTAATTAAAGGATACTTTCTTTATATGTAATCAATTCAATTCCAAATGATATCATCGGTAAATGAAATGAGGAATGAGTAAGCTTTGCAGTTTAAATAATTTATTAAAATTTTGCAAATGTCACTTTATTGGAAATCTTTTA